TGTTCTTGTTCACGAAACGATGCGGCCTTTGTTGAAGGGCTTCATCTCAGCGAGGGATTCGGTCGATCTGATCGTTCAAGATGAAGGAGACCAGTGTTTTAGGTTATTTGGTAAGCAAGTTAGCTGTAATCCATTATTATAAAAAATATAGATTAAATAGAAGCCCATTTTTATTAGATGAACTTGACAAATGACGATGGCACACGTAATCTCAGGATCAGAAAGATAAGGATATAAATCTTCTGTAAAAGCTTCGGTGATAGAGCTGAACAGCGTTTTTTTTAATCGACTATCCAAATGCCAACGAAGAATGTCCTGCTCTTTTTATTTCTCGACATCACCTTGAAAGTCGACCACGACTTCTGGTCAGTCGTTGTTCTCCACTCGCAGAGAAAGGAGAGCATTCACTTTGGCAGATACCATAGTAGAAAGATGTTTTTCATACTCTGTTTGAGAAATGGAAACGGGCATTTTTTACAGTACTTGCCTGTGAAAAACAAGTTTGATCAGTTCATCGGTTTTGCCGTGACGCTGGTGCCGATGCAGTAGCGAAGTGTTTAGGACATGAAAACTCCAATACGTCTGTTTTGTTCGGTGCCCTGAATTATCGTCACTTTGTTGCAGCTCTAGGAGCAGAGCCAAAATCCAAAATTCCTATTCTAATTCTTATTCATGACTGGGCGAAAATTGAAATTTTATAGTAATCTGCAGATGTTGTATTCGCTAAGGCCTGGGTGATCCAGAAAATGTGCTCTCGATTCAATTTGCAAGGCAGAAAGGATTAACTGCTTTAAAGCAAATCCTTCAAAGAGAAATATTTGACACACAGCTACGAAGGAATCATGGGAACCATATTCACTGATGAATAGGATGGATCGTTTGAATGCGTCAGGTTAAAAAGCTTCAGAATAGAATTCACCTGCATAGGTAGTACAGATTAATTCATCAGAAGCGATCAAATAGTTGGAAAGAGCGTACGTTGGCAGGCGAACTCAGATAAGAAGTGAAAACAGGCTACTGCTCGAATTTGCCAGGTTCAGTACTACGGCTGAAACACAATATAAAACGAAATGTTCATGAATGAGGATTCTTTGTCAGAGGAAATAAAAATCGACTTTACGGCTTTGGCAACAAGGGAATTGACTCGACGAAGCTGTCTGTCTGTCCATTCACAGGTAAACAAGGTGGGTATAGCAGTATGTGAACGTCAACAACCAATAAGGCAGTGCAGCAAACTGGCAGATGCCTTTAGCAAGCTATCTTCAAACGGATAACGCCCAAACAGGCAACATTTAATCAATTCAATGTCGTAACTTTATCCGTATGCATATAAGAAAGTTTGGCAAATTATCGATGCAGGGCAATCTGAAATGTATATGCTCTTATGGAATATCATTATAAAGAATAAAGCCTTCACGTTATGAAATAGGAACATTTTAAAATTGTCAATGTTATATGAAATTTCACTAATTTCCTCATTCGCCACATTTGTGATATCTCAATTTCAGTAACCGGTTTTGAGTACGGTCCACTTCCACCGCAACCCAAGTATATTCGCGTGAACACGTATCCAAGCGGCATGATCATTCGAAAGACGGCGTAAGCAAGGAGCAACGCACAAACAAAGGACCTCTTTCAAATTGTCTCATCTTCATTTCAGGTATCCAGAAATTTCGAACGTAACTACGTATTTTCAAGTCGATCTCAACTTCCCTCGGACGCCTCAATTTCTGCTGGACGAGGCGGTGGCGCTGCTGAACATAAACTACCTTAACGAACTCAACAACGCGAGGGACATACCATGGACTCCATTGCAGAACGCAGTTGGTCGAAAACCGAAACTCTGACAACCGTATGAAATCCGACGATTACGCAGTGGTTGTATGCTTTTTATCCTTCACGTTTTAATTTATTTTTGCCGTGCATTTGTTACTTTACTTCACTGACTGGCTTACAGCAACTACGTGTTTCAAAACTCGTTTTAGTAAAATATTTTATTGCTTTCAAAGAAGCGAACAAATTCCTGGTCTTTTCAAATTCATCCGACTCGTTATGCAAGCATTTTCTATGGTTAACAGTCAGGCGTACTAATTTTGTTCGTTCACGCGTTACCACTGAGGTTGCTTCAGGATGGACTGAATGGTTTTACAATACGCATAAGCGAAAACTGGTCTTTCATGCGCGAGAAAAACCGTGTCAGAACGTAATTGTCAAGTCAAAGCTGTTGAACACTAAATAATTTAGACTGTACGTAATTTCATTCAAGAGTGGCTCGCATCAATCGTCGACAAAGCAACCAATTTTCTTGTAGTCTTCAAGTGTCTTTCGTGATTGCAAACAACAAACCAACGTACATATGCTATCAACGTTCTGTTCCAGGTTCGCTTTCATGCATACGTTTCATCGCGAAGCTAAGTTAATGAAAATTCTGACATCTTCTACACCTTTATCTTCATCTTCCATGACCACCTCTTCCTTTTGGGTCGTGGAGTCAAACGAGTCAGAAAATTTCCAACGTTCCTGAACCTGTAGCAGAGTCTCAGCTTCGGCAGAAGACAACTGGAGTCTGCAACAGACTTCTTCCATTATTAGTATCGGGTTAAACTTGGCCCTCTTCTGGACCTTCTGTCGGTAGGCTGGGCAAATAGTAGTTGTTTAGCCTTTGTGTCTGGAGACATTAGCAGCACATACCAAGACCTTCGCAGCTGTCGCGTGTACTTCATAATCTGAAGAATCAGCGGCTGTACACTAAGGTACTCGCAGATTTCTGTGCTACGGGCCATGTGGGACGCGCAACGCCAGCGACTCATCTCAAAAAGGCCATTTCAGCTGCTTGTACCCGGCAACGAATTTTTCAGTTATGGTCCACGACTCATCGCCGTATGCAAGCATGGGAATCGAGAACTTGGTTTTCAGACCGAACTCGCCTTTGGTCACAGTAGGTCGGGATAGTTCACGCAGAACACCACTGGCTACTCCAATTCACCGGTCGATCTCTTCGTCCAATTTACTATCACTAGTAAATACAGTTCCGAGGTACTTGAACTTCTCCACCTGCTCCACTGCCTCTCCGTTAATCTGAAGAACAATGGGCACGAGAACGAGAAAGTACTAGGCTTTTCGTTTTAGATGCGTTCACACGCATGCCGGTCACGTCGCACTCGGAGAGTGGGGATCAGATTCAGAAGATGCTAAAACTACAAAATCGTCTGCAAACAGCAACCTTTTCGACTTCACACCATCCATACCGATACCCTCATCGCCTTGGCAGCTCCTGACTATTCTATCCATGTACAACCCAAATAGGAGATCGGACGGAACGCAGCCTTGCAGTATATCAGTGCCAACGTTGAATGGTTTCGACTTAACGCCATTTACTCTGACACAGTACCTGCTATTAGAATACAGTGATTGGATGGCCCTTAGCAGCTGACCATCTATCCCGTACGTACGAAGGCATGTCCACAGACTGCTGTCCGAGATCCGGTCGTAGGATTTCTCGAGATCAACGAAGTACATGAACACCAGATGGGCGAACTCCCACGATTTCTCAACAATCTGGCGTAGGCAAACCTCTGCTCAGATGTAATCAGCCGTACGGGAAGCCACACTGCTCTTGTATTTTAGAGTCAGCAATTCGGGCCACCCCGTTTCTAGCACCTCTGGTAATACTCTATCCCGGAGGCTCAATGAGGTACTGCCCTGATAAATGGAGAACTCATTTTGTTTTCTATTCTTGAACAGGGGTACTAAAATACTGGTTCTGCCCTGCGCTGGTGCTTTCACCTTTCGTGACTTTGACAGACATGCATAAGAAAGCATGTACCCTATTCGCTTATTGCTTTGAGCATTTCAGAGCAAATTTCATCAGTTTCAACAGTTTCTGCACTTTTCAAGCTTTTCACAGCTTGTCTAATTTCATCTACGGAAATAACAATATCCGTTTCCTGCTATTCTACAGACGAGTCTTCCTGCGGTCGCTCAGGGAGGAGAAGTTTCTCAAAGTACTCTTGCCTACGCCGAAGAAGGGTGTCCATATCTTTACTTCAGGATTCTTAGAGGGCCCTTCTTTTAATCTAGCAGCCGGCGAATGGTCTGTAAGAATACCTCATTTTCCGTCTCGAAATTCGACTTCAACAATTCACCGAACTTCTCCCAGGAATCAGCTTTGGCTTTCGTCATTGCTTTAGCTGCCGCCTTGCGTGCCTCAACATATCGTACGCGAGTAGAAGGCTCTGTATTTCCAAGCCATTTCTTGAACGCTGCTTTCTTCTATTTAATCGCTAGTTGAGTTGTACCTCTCGTGTTCACTAGGAAGATCTTTTCTGACCTCTAGTCGGCAAGCCAACCCGTTTAAATCCTCAGCATTCGGCGGGTTTCAACATCAGTTGTCATCGCTCGGATTTGTTTAAACCGTCGTGCGATGTTGTTTGCAAATTTCGCTCTCCTGTCCACCGAAGACAATGTTTC